AGATAAGCTGGTGAGTCCATACCTCACAAACGAACAGCAACCCAGTGAAGTTTGCGATCCTCTCCCCCGGATCTCGAGAGGTGAGTGGTAGAAAACCTGTAGTGAGCGGAGCTGGGGATGACCTCACCCAATTACGACTCACCGAGGCATTCACTTTTCCAAATGAGTGACGACCCTATGCCCAACGTGGACCTGAAAGAGAGTGAGAGAGGAGATACAATGCGGAACTAGCCGTGGGTGGAGGTTCAAATGGATTAAATGCACGCTCCTGGGTCAACCAATAACAGTTTACACCTCAGTCTGGAAATTGAGGGAACAGAGGGGCAACATCCCAACCACCACCATCCTCCTAAACCGAGTTCGGCTGGGCCCTTGGGTGGACTGCAGCTAATGCGTCCTGCGCTTGGAACCTGACATGGTCAGCGATGCTACCGTGCTGCTGATAGACCCAGAGAGCTTGATAGCCAGAAAGGTTCCTGACGAACTACCGCCGACACATGACCCGGGCACCGGTACTCTGGATGCCATGGGGGTTAAGCTTGTGGGTGAACAGAAAGTTGTTTGAGTTTTTTCAAGTGAGCACGTGTGTGGTTGTAAGATGATCACAGGGGAAGCGGAGTCACAGTTGACTGGAAGAGTACATGGGCACCTCGGACGGCAGGCCATGAGATTTCCGGTATCAGAATAACTATCTAGGGGTTATGATCTCCCCGTCCACTAATCGCTCAGCTAGATGTATACCTTTCTGCAGGCACTCCCTATTTTCTCTCTTTTTCTACAGGTACCAATTATCTGCATTACACTATACCAGCCGCGAAAGTAGCAGCTGATCCGAAAAGCTTGCCCAAGTCGGCAGCCAGGGGCCCACAAAGNGGATTCTCTGTTGTCGAAGCATACGTAGGCGAACGTTACGCTCACGGTGCAAGAACCTGGACCAAATTGGCATCAGCCGCAAGTCCTATGACCCGACCTGACCTGACCTGAGTCAGTCCCAGGACAGAACACACCACTACCAGGACACCTCACAGACGAAGGCCTCCTCACGTTCTGTAATTTGAAATTTAAATTTTAAATTCGTCCTGTGAAAACTGAACTGATACATTTCAAGGACCCGAGACATTTGGGCAACAGCCTCGATCGCGAGAATCACTTCCCAGGGTTCTGTGCTAGGCCCACTGCTATTCTTGATATTCGTCAACGACCTACCACG